TCTTCAGTCTGAGAGTTTCAGGCTCTTCAGTCTGAGAGTTTCAGGCAAAAGAGTCTGAGAGTTTCAGGCAAAATTCAGGCTTTATGAAACTCTCAGACTGAAGAAGTCTCTTGGAAGAGAGACGAAACGTTTCATTAAAGAAGAACCCGTCCAGAGGACCTATACAATTTTTTTCCTTTCAGTTTAAATTTACAACTTTTAAGTAGGAAACACCCACTTCCCTGTACAACTGGCCAGAGCAAAAGTTGCTGGTGAAAATGCAGCAAAATGAAGATTTTACATGGTGAATTTCGCCGGCTACTTTTAAACTGTGTACACCTCCACCTTGTGGTAGGATATTGTTACTTTGTGAGTAAAATAATCAACATGCATTATGGGAGATGTAGTTTATGGTCAATAATGGCATTAAAGCTGCACATGCCTGATTTGAATCTTACATTTTTGAAGCTCTTGTGGGCCATGCTAAATGCCAAGATGGGCCACATTTGGCCCACAGGCCTTCAGTTTAATACATTTTACTTGTTTCCCTGCTCCAACACACCTGATCCAATCACTGATTTACTTCTTAAAGTTCTCCAGAAGCCTGTTTATCACCCATTCATTCAAATCAGAAAAACCTTCATGAAAGTGACCCTTGAGGACCAGAATGTGCTGTGCTAGCTGCTAATGTAGCCTGAAATTTCTGTGTTTTTACATTTTTTTGCTAAACGTTAAAGAATCAAACATGAAGTGTTTTATGGAGTAAACTCAATACATCTTTTACTCCTCGTCTTATTTGGACTCCCTACTTCCGCCAACTACAACCTAAAGTTGCAGCTCTTAAAAGCAACTTGAAAATAAATGTAGTTTTTTTTTCTTCCTTTTTTTTTTTGACGTGACTACAGGGTTAGCGAAGGGCTTGCAAGTTTATCAAACTGCATGAACACATCCAAGAGTTTTGACTCTCTGGTTACATTTCATGAATGCAGCTAAAATAACTGAAAGCTAAGAGAACATTGCGTGAACAAGGAGGAAGTACCAATTTTGTGACAAACCGAAAGATCTCCTGCAGTTTATGGAGTTGGCAGACTTTTTAAAAACCTCATGTGTTTCCTTTGACCCTTTAAGAATACTGCAGGAGTAGCTGAGTTAAGGAGTAGAGCACTTCTCTGTGGTGGTTACTAGAAAAGTTAAGTATCCTTTGGGTTTAAGGATCTCTTTTGTTTTTATACAGCATTGCATCTGTAACATAGAAATTATATCAAGAGCAAAGTATCATGAGCAACAGTAAACATTGTAGTGGATAAAAAAATACAAAAAAAATGTGTGAAGTTTATTTAAGAAGATGGATCATGTTATAGCCACAGTTGCACTGTTGCATCACATAAGAGAGCTGAACGAGAAATAAAGGAATATTTTCAAAGACTTGAGGCATGTTCAAAATGTTTCAGTGTCATTTATTGTTGTACATTTGTACCTATCACATCTGAATTAAAAAACATTTATCTCACCAGCTGAAGAAAGGCGGGCAATAATGCCTTTTTCTGATAGCAAAATATTTCATGGACTACTTAAGAAATTTTAATGAAACTTTAGGTAATCTTTGAATTAACTGTTGAAGTCAATTCAATGCAAGAGCCACTATAAGGGTGATGGACCTTAACTACGTGATGTTGGAGAACAATCTGGATCTTTTGAACAGATCTTTAAAATGAGTCACATATTGGTTTATACTTCAACAAGATGTGAGACAGCGGATCACCGATCATCATTTGGGATGTATTTTTCTTACAGTGCAGTGTAGACGACACAGGGGAAAAAACATCATAATCCCATCCATAGCACTTCCAGTATGGCACAGGTCGAGTGTTGCCGAGTATCTAAACAACAGTAATGGCAGGATAGATTTTTTTTTACTTGATGATGTAGACATTTGAAGAGAGGCTTGTGCTGTTGGAGGAAGAGTTGGAAGAAGAAATATTTGTTTTTGTTCTTCTAGTTAACTGTAGAGATGGAAAAGAAGACATGTAGCCTGCCATCTGCTCAACATAAACTAGTGGTTACTACAGTTTCTGCTTTGGGTTACAAGATTTCCCCTGGTACAGTCTCCAAACCACACCCATTAATAAAATAAACTGAAATAAAATGCAACCTCTTACTACCCTCGTAGTGTAATTATTTTAACTTTTTACTGTGTGACAATATTCAACATTGCTGTCAGTAAATCTTTAAAAATGGGTTTCAAAAACATCAACTTCCTGAGAGGAAACAAATTAAAGGTTTGATCAAAAATGACACCTTTAATCCTCACTTCTTTGTGCTCATGAGAGCCCTGTCAAAAACCAGTCCATTATGACAGCAACGTCCAGGTATTAGTTTTTTCATTCAGTGCTGCGCCCCCCATCACTGACATAAACACTCCCAACAAGTTCTGACCAATCTGACACTGCAAACCGCATTGGTCTATAAGACATTTCTAACTGGGGACAATGTATGAGACAGGGTGTCAGTGGGAGATAAACAGAAGTTACTCAATTTTCATCATGGTAGACATGAGAATGGAAGTAGTAGTCTTGCGCAAATAAACACATAAGGCCGTGAGGTACGCCACTACATAAAGTGATGTAAAATAGTTAAAAGTTAAATTTTGTGTTAAACTTTTCTCTAGGATCAGATGAGATTTTTAATAAATAACTTCTTGAATTTAAACTATTCAAATGGTGTTTTGATAGCAACTTCAGACGTTTTCTTGGTTGATCTGTGACCCGAAGGCTCCATAGTACTCCTAACTACCGAATGGTCGATTGCACTACCGTCACTGAACATGCCGAATGGCTCTTTGAAAGGAACGATTCTCAAGATCTGCTCTTTTCAAAGAGCTGTAAATCCCATCTTTATTAGTTACAATAAGAAAAGACAGATATTCAGCTAAAAAAAAAAAAAATTATGGTCGATGAATTATTTACAGGGGTTGTACAATAAAACTGAAACACCTGTCATTTTAGTGTGGGAGGTTTCATGGCTAAATTGGACCAGCCTGGTGGCCAATCTTCATTAATTACACATCGCACCAGTAAGAGCAGAGTGTGAAGGTTCAATTAGCAGGGTAAGAGCAGTTTTGCTCAAAATATTGCAATGCACACAACATGATGGGTGACCAGAGTTCAAATTGTTGGTGCACATCTTGCTGGCGCATCTGTGACCAAGACAGCAAGTCTTTGTGATGTGTCTTTATGATGTATCAAGAGCCACGGTATCCAGGGTAATGTCAGCATACCACCAAGGACAAACCACATCCAACAGGAATAACTGTGGACGCAAGAGGAAGCTGTCTGAAAGGGATGTTCAGGTGCTGACCTGGACTGTATCTAATAAACATAAAACCACAGCTGCCCAAATCACGGCAGAAATATCCACCTCAACTCTCGTTTCCACCAGAACTGTCCGTCAGGAGCTCCACAGGGTCAATATACATGGTCGGGCTGCTATAGCAAAACCTTTGGTCACTTGTGCCAATGCCAAACGTCAGTTTCAATGGTGCAAGGAGCGCAAAGATGAGTCCATCTTTATCGTTTTCCCCACATCCGGGAGAGTTAGCCCAAAGAAGCTTACCACCCAGACTGTTGCATGCCCAGAGTGAAGCATGGGGGTGGATCAGTGATGGTTTGGGCTGCCATATCATGGCATTCCCTTGACCCAATACTTGTGCTAGATGGGTATGTCACTGCCAAGGACTACCGAACCATTCTGGAGGATCATGTGCATCCTATGGTTCAAACATTGTATCCTGAAGGCGGTGCCGTGTATCAGGATGCCAATGCACAAACAGACATAGCAAGACTGGTGAAGGACTGGTTTGATGAACATGAAAGTGAAGCTGAACATCTTCCATGGCCTGCACAGTCACCAGGTATAAATATTATTGAGCCACTTTGGGGTGTTTTGGAGGAGCGAGTCAGGAAACGTTTTCCTTCACCAGCATCATAGTGACCTGCCCACTATCCTGCAAGAATGGCTTAAAATCCCTCTGACCACTGTGCAGGACTTGAATATGTCATTCCCAAGACAAATTGATGCTGTATTGGCCCCAAAAGGAGGCCCTACACCATACTAATAAATTATTGTGGTCTAAAACCAGGTGTTTCATTCATTGTACAACACATTCTCTGGAGTTTTAACATGGTTATAACACATGAAGTCATACTTTATAATCAAGGTTCGATAAAAATTGCTTTTTCAAAATAAGATGATCTTAGTCAAAAACTCTTTAATGAAAGGCGGCGAGCGATGTGAATTACTTCAAGAAACACGAGGCCAATTATTTGTTTTAAAGTTTTTTTTTTAGCAATAGACCAAAACAAGGCTCCATAATGTGGTAAACACAACCGTTTTAGCATTTCACATCTTTTATTTCTGCATTTCATTTCATCAACAATTTAATTGCACCCAGATCTACAATAGTTTGAAAACGTGCACAAAAAACGTGAGTTTCTTCATCCTGCAAAGAATAAAAAATAAAAATAAAATCTGACCCAGGCAAAAAAGGATTAGCAGGAAACTAGTGTTAATTCTATAATTCTCCTTCTAGTTAATCATAATTTAATACTTCAGCATAATATACTTATAAAGACCAGTATGCCTTTTAGTTTTGCCCCTTGCAGCATTCCCCAGCCCTGCAGTTAAAAAAAATATTTTCTCTATTTAAAACAAACATTTGAACGTCATCATCGTCATCATTCTGGTCTTTGTAATTTGCTTTCAGCTCCACATCTTGTGGCCACGGTCCACCCACCTTCCTCACAATTCAGTACACAATGATGCTCAAAAAGTCCCGATAGACGAATAAAACAGATGGAAACACAGGAATGACACAAAACCATTACTCGGCAAGTTAGAGGTGAGATGTGACGTAGCTTAAAATGAGAAGTTACCTTCAAAGTTTGTCCTGAATACAAGTTTAGCTCTTTTTCACGCACTAAAACCCGTTAAACCCACAATGCCTCGATCAGGAAGTACAGCTTCAAATAGCAAAAATTGTATTCTACTTGTACAAGGTACTGCGTATTAAATAAAAATAAATAGATATTTAAAAGGAAGGGAGAGAACAGTCCATCTATATTATTTTTTTCTTCATTTTAACATTTTCTAAGAAAAATCTGACATAAGAAAAACATAATTTATGCCTTTTCAGATTTTCCTAAAACTTTTTTTTTCAGTATATCAAGATAATCATACAAGATATACAGCAAAAATAAAAAGGAAAAATACAACTGAAGAAAGTCTTTGAAAACTATATGCCAACAGAATTTAAAACATAATAAATAAATAAAATACAATTATTGTGGCGATGGCATAATTACAACTGAGTAGGTGTCTAACCAAAACAGGAGAAAACAGTGAGTTTATAGTACTTGGTTTTTGCATTAAGTTCAATAAGGGACCTCTTGGTAAAAATTAGGGGGAGGGGTTGTATTAGATGCTGATGAAGATGCTCCATGTCAGTTGGCTGCGAGTCCAGTGGCTTCAGAAGACAGCCTAAAGATAAAAATACATACAAGAGAAGAAACATTAAGTCCAACACACGATTTAAACAAATCAAAGCCCTGATTGGACCATTTCCTAAAATACATTCACTGACCAAAACAAAATCCACATGATGAAAGGTCATAAGGCTGCACTGAAATAGGTCTCCGGTTGAGCTCTGTGCTCATGCACAGCCAGCTGAGAGAGCTGGGAGCACAACTGTTTTCATCTGAAGAGTCAGAGTACTGGAGAGTGACTCAACCGGGCACTTTTACATGCTAGTAGTCAGAGAGGACACTGGACAGACAGAGAAGATCACTTTGCAGGTGTAGAAATAGTCTTCATGGGTGGATTTTATTTACGTTAGCTCTCACTAGCTCAGTAGCTTCTGAGCTCAAGTGTGAGGCAAGAAGCAAAAATACAGCAGAATACATTTGCTGGCCATCACATTGAGCTCATATGAGCAAATAAACATTCTACTGTGGCTGCAGTGTGCAGGCTTAACATCATCATTAAATCATAAGTTTTGATGATTTTTAAATACATTGTAGTGACTGGATGTTTAAGGGTGAATTTGCAGAAATACATGCCAACACATGCCATCAGCTTGGTTAACTGGCAGAATTATGTAACCTCTTTTCTCTTCTTTCCATATTGAATGGGGAAAAGCTTTGGCACATTTTTGCATTTTATTTTTCGTGTAACCGGGAAGGTTCTAGAGGTCGACTGATACATTGGCTGTCCGATATTTGCATTTTTTTCCTTGTATTGGTATCAGCTGGTACGTTCAGGTATTTGGCCTACAGCAGTCGGCTTCTGGAAGCAATTTTTTAAGCAACTAGTTGAAGCAAATGAGCATTTTCAGCATGAACACTCCCATGAAATTCTGACCAACCACATAATAAGTTTTGTGTGGGGGTGGGGGGTTTGGTCTAGGGGTGCACCGATTTTAGTTTTCTTGCCGATCTTCGATCTCCAATCTTTCAAAAGTCTGACCTTCCAATTCTGATTTTGGCCGATACAGATTTTTTAAAAAGCTGACACTGTCAGATGTTATAAAATCACAGCACAACTTCAGTGTTGAAATGTTATTTTACTGAAATACTTTAAACAATACTCTTGAAACAGTACAAACTTGTTTTAACTGGATATTAGGTAGTGCTCACAGCAGAGCAAAAGAGGATAGTGGTTGATTTTCAGACCTTTGTGGAGGTAGTAAAACTGATCTTCTCCACCAATCTTATGTAAGGATCGGCCGATCTCCCAAAAGTAAGCAAATTGGCACCCCTAATTTGGCCGGTGGGTTGCGACAAGAAGGGGCCGAAATGTCGACAGTTTTAACAAAATGATGCAATTTTCATCATGAAACTGCATCGATCCAATCCGATTTCGGCAGTTTGGCTGCAGCATACTGCAAGCTTTAGCATTAGCTGCTTCGCACCACCTTCCACCACTGGGCTCATAGGCACACTTGATAGTGAGAGTGTGCCGCGCACAAAATAACGTCACCATCTCAGGTTAATAATTGAAAAATTAATTGTTAATTAAGTAACAGTTTTTCTGTCTTTCACACGATACAATTTTGCCCATCCCTACTGTTTTACTTTGTAAAACGAAATAATAAAAACCTGTAATCATTTTAAAGACAACCAACAGCTGGTTAACTGCACATAAGAAAACTAACGTATCAACTGAAACCCAGCGGCTGAAAAAGCAAACGTGATGAACACACTGCAGTGGCCGGCTGCCTTTTCTTACCGAGCATTGATCAGGTACTCAGCCAGGCTGATGCTGGCGTGGGAGCCAGTGATGGTAACCTGTCTGTCAGTCGAGCCTTCTACCGGGTTGGCAATCTTGATCTGAGCCCCTGACATCTGACGGATCTCGTTGATCTTTGCACCCTGACGACCAATGATGCAGCCGATGAGCTGGGGAATGGGGGCAACACAGAAACAGAAATCATCTTAAAAGACAAACCCTGTCTGACACATGGTAAAATAATCATTTGGAGTGCTTTGAAAACTGATCTTTCTCTGTAAAACAAAAACATGGCAAGTACACCTCATGTCTGTATTAGTGACTTACATCATTTGGAATGGTCAGCTCATGAGAGCCAGTTTGTGCAGAGGCATCCATTCCAGCTTAAACAAAAAGAAACCAGTGATAGAGTAAATAATAAAAATATTTGAGTTTTAATTAAAATACCCATTCTGCAGGATGTTCACCTTACCCTGGAAGCCCTGGTTACCGTGTGCAATGGGGAAGGGGCCCTGTTGCATGGCCAGCTGGTGAAGTTTGGTGAGCTGTTGAAACAATGAGGGGGAGGACACAGAAGCAACACACAGAGAAAGAAAAAAATAAAATAAAACAAAATCAGGGGAAAAAAATGGAAAATGTACTTCTAACTTAAAATGTAATTCCCCCTTTTTTTAAGAAGTGATGATGAGCAGAAGAGGTGAAATGTAACATGGCACCTCTGATGCAGCATAAAGTTTAAAACAGTTCTGTGGGATTCTGGGTTTATGGTTTGTGATGTTGACAAATGGAGGTGTTGGTCAGAAAAAGGGTGCAGAAAAAAAAATCAAATAATGACATGGCTTCCCTGGACCGAAGTTGCAAATATATTGGATCACTTACAGAAGGCCCTTCACTTACATCAGGCTGTGGAATGGCGTGCTGCCCTTGGACAGCGTAAGCCTGCAAGGAGAGAACAGCACTTAGGAAGAAAGAGGCAGAGTGACACCACAGTGTACTCAAATATCCATCTGTCCTTGGTGTGAGACAAGAACAAAGTTGGACAGCAGCTTTTATAGACGACTAAACTACACGGACCCCTCGTTCGCAGGCTCTCTTTAAACAAGTGCTTTGGTTGTTTACCTGACCACCTGCAAAGATGACCGGAGAGCCGGAGGGTTTGGGCCTGTATGGGATGGTCACTCCTTTCGGTGGAGACTGAAAAAAAAAAAGAATATCGGTCAATAAACACAAATAGTATTTTTGTGCTCCTTCAGCCAGACTAATAGCCTGGTAAAAACCAGACCCTGTCCTTCACTTTGCTTTGTACGAGGGTCTGGACTTGCTGCTATTGAGAAGTGATTCTTGCAGGAGGCGTGGCCTCTGCTGAAACGTGTGTGTTGTTGTTGCTGTGAAGGAGGCTAAGCTAAGAAGCTAACCGGAAATCGCGTGTGCTGTAAACAACCCTACTGAGAGGAGAAATATACAGAGCTGAATGAGACGACTGT